TCAGTATTTGCAATTGAGTCCTCAAACTTTGCTTTTACTTCATTTAAACCATTCTTCGCTTGTTTTTTCCGAATTTTCACCACGTTCATCATTATAGTCCTACAAACACAATTTATGTTGTATTAAGCCATAATCAAGCATTTATGCTAACAATTAGTCATATAATGTGGCTAAATACACGTTAGAAAATGCACTTATCAGAAAGCAGAGTCAATACTCTTTTCAATATGAGATTTTTCATTTTATGAAACTATTCTTGCAAATTTCAACGATTGTAATTCTTCTCGAGAAATAAGTCGATGAGATGTTTAATCTTCCATCATGATCTAGAAGTCCGGATATGGTACACCCTTGTGGGAACCTTATGGAACCCATATCTCATGTGGCAATGCAGCTGGCAATTGGAGGGACCCATATCCGTAGAGTTTAAATGAGATATACCAGCTCTTGTACTGTTCCTAACATGCACATTAGTTGTGCCTGCAAAGTCAACACATGAGAGGCCTTTTAGTCCATTTTCATTACCATTTTTTCGTCCAAGTGTGAACCACTTTTCTCAAAAATTGGCCCTAAATATTGAATAATTAATTTCACGTTATTTTCTCAAAAATTGGCCATGAATATTGATTAATTAATTTCATGTTATTTTTTTAAACTTCGCGTTATTTTTTGAGATTGGTCAATTAATTTTTTTTCCCAAATCAAGTCAAATCATCAAAATGATATAATATTTTGCTTGATTTTAATTACTCAACGCGTAAGGAATTAAGAAGAAGAAGAAGACTTGCGAAGTAGACGGATAATTTAGAAGAGATTATAATATTTTTAGAATGTATAACTAAAAAATATGTAAAAGTAGTGGATCTCATGAAATTGATGATTGAGATTGATTTTGACGCGTGAATCATGCCTAGCCATAAAATTCAATATCCATTGATTTTTTTTGTGCCACGTCAGCTTAACATGTGCTCCACTTCTTTTTATCATGTTTCTTTGTGTATTATTTTTGTTTTGCTTACGGATGAAACTAGTACTGTAAAACTCTCAACATGGCTACTTTATAAACACATCTCTAGTCCACAATAAATTTTATGTGCTAAAATGCCATTCAATTCGACCGAGTACCTTGCAATGCTAATACAAAAAATACATAAATCAACAACACGCATATCTGGAATTCAAAAAAACCACTACCACCATTGGGATAGCTACTAGCAATACTCAAGTGGGTTCCAACGTCTCCTTGAGTCTCATCTAAGTCATTTTCAGGGATAGTAGAGGCCTCTGGCACATTTGCACTGGATAAAAATAATTCGTTAGAAGGTATATATAATAAAGCAACACAGCCAGTTGTGCACCAAATATGAGTTAATGAATTACATGTCCTGTCTTATATATGGACATGTCCTCTTATCATGTCCCGGTGTATGGCAAACCCTACACTGTCTGTTAGAGGTGGACATTGATTTTTCCTTCGACCACTTTATTCGTTTCTCGCACCCTTTAGCCCTTACATCATTGGGATCACACACTAACGATGTCACATCACGAGTTCTTCTTAAACTCTTTTCATGCTAACTGGGGATTCATCCTCAAATTCCTTTAATCGAATATGTAATCCCTCGAATTCACCCATAAGGAATGTAGTACGATCATCTATTAGAGATACGTGGTCCACTAACAATGAGGCCTTCTAAGACAGCATTCCATGTTGTGCCATAAGGGGACGATTGGTCCCTTCGTCAAGCGACAATCCAGTCGATGAATCAAACACAAATCCACTTTTTGCATTTTTTGTCCATTGTCACGAAATATACTTCTCTGGAAGCAATAACACTTGTTTTTTCTTCCAAAGGCAAAGCATATGGCGACAAGGGATGCCTTCAAATTCAAACATACGACAAGAGCAAGCCACAAAATTAGTAGGGGTATAGTAAGTTACCTCCCACTGTCGATCAAATGTTTTTCCCATTTCAAAACACTCTACATTGTACACTTTTAACATCTGTCGAACTTGTTTTTTTCAAACAAATGTAGTGATTACTCTGTTGGACTTCCTTTTGAAACTTCAAAAAAAAAATTTTAGTGTACACTTGCACTAGTTGCTGCTCCATCATAGCATGCTCATTAAATCTGGGCTGCTCGCTGGTGTTAACGTGGTTAGCATACAACTCTTCTGGTCATTGATGAACCAGTGCTCTATTGAAACGTGTCAGAAATCCCATTAGGGTGCAATCTCTGTTTACATACTTCTTCAGAAATGGGTGACCACTCTCTGATCTCTGGCTACTGGACATCCCTGCACTGAATATGTGCTTTACGTACGCCGGTACCCACCGACTACGTATCCATACATGGTACTCATACACTCGTTACAATCCAGATTAGAAGTTTCCATTATTTCATTCCAGCGATGTTCGAACTCATCAGGTGACTTGGACTGTTTGATGATGTTGACCAACTAATGGTACTGCTCGATATACAGCATAGCACTAATTTTCTCAGAAAATTTGTTTAGAATATGCCACAAGAAATACCTGTGCAGAGTCGAAGGTAAAATCATTGAGATAGCTTTTGAAATCGCCGCATCTTGATAAATAATAATCACCCCCGATGGCCTGTTATTTGGCATTGCATCAACGAACTTTGTTAACAACCAAACAAATGATTCAGTCATTTCATCACTCAACAATCTACATGCAAAACGAACTGTCTACCCGTGGTGATTTACGCCAACAAGCGGTGCCAGTATCATCGAGTATGTGTTCGTGTTATATGTGATGTTGAAAACTACTGTATCACTGAAAAATGCATATGATCATCGTGATTCACAATCAGCCCAAAAACAGCGAACCAACTTGTTCTCTGAATCAATGTCAAAGGCGTAGTAAAAATTCGGGTCTTTCTCCTTCTCAAACGCAAAGTGCTTAATCAATGCTTCTGCATCGTGCCCCTTTTATTCTGCACAAATTTTAGCTTCGTAGTTGTACAAATCTCTTTGGATACAACCAACCGATGACGGGCCACCTACATCTAGCTTTATAAGGCGCATCTTTTGGCATGCCGATATATTCACTTCTGATAATTGATGCGTTAGTGCCTTCTTGCTGGTCGAGATATTCCTATGTGACCATAACAAGTGTACTCTGCTAGGAGTTGTCAGTCCATGATTATGTGCTTCTACAAACTTGTTCACTATCCAGGATTCTCCAGTCTGTTGCTTCAACACAGCCTATCTTGCGTTACATCCAACGTATGTGTGGCCACGATTTCTTTCCTCTGTTCGTTGTACAACATCCTTATATCTCAACTGATACGTTTCATTCGTTTTTCTTTCTTTTGAACAAACAAACAACTTCTAGTAAATTTCGTTACTTCCTTTGTTTTTCTTACTATTTGCTATCTGTGTGCTAAAACCGGCAGCCCGTGCATATGCATTGTCGAATTTGTAAGCATCCTCGTGTGATTCAAATACTTGCCCTATTTGGGGAATAAGATTAACAGAAACTTGAGGCACAAACACATTATCGCCATTTGCTTCTGATTCCATCCCTATTAAAATTGGTGAACAAAAATTATATTAGCAAATATATTCGGTTAAAGGAATTAAATACGTACTAAATAAAAAATAACTACAGACATATTTCTATAAAATTAGATACATATTAAATAAAACATTCTAAAAAATATTCTAATAAATCCAAAACACTTTAATATATATATATATATATATATAATTTCACAAAAAATAGGATTTGCTTATACAAAACATTATTTACAACAATAGCATTTACCCTAAATATTTTCTATTAGGTCTGCTACCAATAATATGATGGATATAAAATATTGCACATACAAAATATAACAGAAGGAGGAATTAAATACCTTCGTTTTGGTGTTTCGTTTCTAATAGTGGCGGGGAAGAGCGGAAATCCGTTGTCCAATTTGATTAAAAATGGTGTGAAATTGTGTTTTGTTTTTTACCTGTGCTAATTGGATGAAAAAATGGTAATGGAAATGGACTAAAATGCCTCTCATGTATTGACTTTGCAGGCACAATTAATGTGCATGTCGGGAACAGTACAAGGGCTGGTATACCTCATTTAAACTCCACAAATAATGGGTCCCTCCAATTGCCAACTGCCTTGCCACATGAGATATGAGTTCCATAAGGTACCCACAAGGGTGTACCATATTCGAACTGTATGATCTAGAGGTATAAAGTAGTCTTAGCTCGGTTCACACTTTTTTATCAAGGCTAAATTGACCCGTACAAAAATATTACGAGATAAAAAGGAAAAAAGAAATATTGAAACAGTTTGCGTAGACCACTGATGACCTAACGGAAAGGCAAGCCGACGCTATTGGTCCAGGCTAGTCCACCTGAGGGCCTAGATTATATCGAAATTTTCTATTGTGCTACGAATTTTTATCTTCATGCAATATACAGTTTAGCTCTGATCAGAGCCGTACCTATGTTTCGCGGGGCCTGAGGCGAACTTCAAATTTTGGGCCCCTAAGTCATAACAGACAATCCACTTTTTCGTTTAAAAGAGTCTTACGGTAAATTTAACAATAAAGCAACAAATAAAAATAAANCACATTTTCGGTTAAAAGAGTCTTACGGTAAATTTAACAATAAAGCAACAAATAAATATAAAAAATTCAAATATTTATTTTGCAATCAAATAACAATACGAAGAGGTTCTAGTTTCAAGTATGAATCCCTTGCTCATCATTTCATGAATCACAGTATATGATTTCTCATACTTTCCAACCCCGCAAAGGCATCGCGCGAAATTGCTGACATTGACTTTGTTCAATACTATTCCTACATCAAGCATATCACTATAAGCTTTTTCTGCCAATTCTAACACGCCTGGACTTGGCGATTCCTCATTGCCACAGATACTTCCAATCAGTATATTATAAACAACATAACCAGGTTGGTAACCACAATCTGCCATTTTCTTCAGCAACTTATAGGCATGTGAATAGTCACCAAACTTGCAATAGGCATGAACAAGAGAATTAAATATTTTAGGACTTGGGTAACAACCTTCTGTAATCATCATACTAAGAATCCTTTTACACCTACCCAATTTCCCCTTTTTTAGGCACCCACATGGCAAAATTGATCGTATCCTATTCAAAAAATCCATAGCCTCTTCAAAAAGTGAAGTTTCACACAAACTAGATATCATTTTTGTATAAAGCACTATATCGGGGAAAGCATCTTCCTTGTCAATTACCTCAAAAGCATCTCTCCATTTACCCATTTTACTTAAAGAATGCACAAAACAACCCAACAAATGCACGTCCATCTTAAAACCCAAACGCAACATCTCTATGTGAAGTAAAAATGTCATGTCCAACATGCCTGCTTCCAAAAACACCAAGATCAAAGCGTTGTATGTGGCTCTTGAAGGCTTAT